TTGACTTACATTTTTAATGCAGTGCTTAGTTTATTCAGCAGGGGTCATCAAAGGTCTGGATTTTCTTTGTCTTCTGAGGTGAACTGAATGATGACATTTCACAGCTTTCTTCAGCATTTGGAAATGTTCGTGGACTCTCTTACAGTGCTATTGCTCAGTCTGTTCTAACTATAGAATGCATTCTGAAGACTCATTTCAAATACCTACGACCAAAGTGTTTGCTTTGGCAGATAACTTAGTTCAAGAGTCTTTTTTATGGAGTATTATTTTTCTGTTAGTGAATAGTGTAAATGAAACTGTTAGAAAATGCAGGAGCCATAACAGCTTTTGTTCCTTGCAAATATTTGTAAAAGCAAATACAGGATAAAGTGGCAAAGCTTGCATTACTCTGAATTCTGGACCGTTTTGACAGCAGACAAATTGCTTTTCAGATTTTGCTGATGGCATTATAATGTCTTCCAAAGGCAGCAACAAGGAAGAAGGCAGATATACATTTGTCTAATGAAACACTTCTAGTAACTTCTTTTCTAGCATTGGGTGAAATATGTACTGCTGGGGATAACACAATGCAGTGTAATGTAAATATGACTCATGTTATTTGTAGGCTTTTGTCACTGAAACACTACAGAAGAAGTACAGATTTTCCTGAACCAAACTTGTTGATGCTTAATTATCAGATCATGATAGATCAGAAAGCATATTCTCCATCAACTTAGAGACTTTTGGACATAAACTGGAAACAGTTTAACACATTTTATCAGGCATTTTAGTCTGTACTTCCTAATCCAAGTTTGACAGAAGAGTTAGTGAGAGCTAAGTTCTGGGTGGCAGCAACAAAACCAGCAACTTCAGCTGCTCAGACTGAGTCTGAGGTGCTTTTCTTACTGTTCCTGCTAGTGAATAATGGCAGCTCCCTGACCCAAGATTTTGTCACACAGAAAATTATTTCTAAAAGGCTGGGATAGTCAGGTAGTATAACTAAAGCATGTGTATTAGAATGTTTGGTAGATAAATGAGTCCAACAGACCACAGTTCAGACAGTAATAAATGTCCTGGCATTATTCTGTCATGCCTAAAAGTCTATGGTAACCTACTGTCTGCTCTAAACTTCATTACTGTTTCCCATGGTAGGTGTATTTAGTGATCACCTCATTTCCATTAGACTAAATACCAGACTTGTGACACATGGATTGTCTCCTTTCAGAGGACTTCTATAAAGCATACCTTCTACCCAAGACATTATCTACCTTCAGATTTTCCACATTTCTAAAACCTCCAGCTCCATGAGCAGTAAATCACTATTTGCTATGGTTGCTGTTTCATGTTTGCAGTATTCTGTATCTTGGATTAGACACACTCATATTAAAATTTGTCCTATAATGAGAAATTTTCTCTGTATGTTTTCAGTTTCTAAAGACAAACTGTATTCATGCTGCATCCTGTCAGTGAGTCACTGGAAGACTGATTCGTTTTCTCTTTGTTCTATTTTATGTGCATCTACAAGAGCTGTTATCATTGATACCTGTGTCACATTTGTCTAAAGCTGACCAAAGGCATTCAAAAATGCTCAGGGGAGACTTGATTGACACAAATATTTAGAGATAGCTAAGTTATAAAAGTAAAGCATATTCTTGCCTTCACTCCCAGAAAAAATCCTTAGGAAAGAGACATCTAACATAGCCACACCATTGCCTGAGAGAGAATTTTTATGCCCATCTTTTTTGCACTTCTGTGCTGTCATTTGTAACACATTCACGACAATTACTTTATAAATGCTTGGTACTTCAGGTTTTTATGTCCTTATCTGGGTCTTTATAAATATTTTTGACTATATATATTACTAAAATCTTCAAATGCTTTTATCATAAGAAGCTTGATAGGTGAAAAGGAATTATTAAAACAGTAACATAAGAGAGTCATGTGTAAAGGAATACTTAAAATATGGAAAAAAACAACAAAAATATTCTTTCATAATAGTTTCCATAGGATCTGCATGTTCCATAAGTTGCCTAATGGCCTTTTTTGAAATCTCAAGAAGATTACATACTGTGACGTACTCTGTTTTACCAAGAATACATATCCATTTTACCATCATGATGGTCATCATGGGCTGAAGGTAACCAGACAGAAAATGTACATACTTTGGCTGAGATTAATGCATCAGTATTGATTTAGACCAGCCATTCCTACTCAATAAAGGATTTGTAGGTCTGTACAATTAATATTAACTGGTTTCTTTCCCTGAAAAATATCTGTTTAATAGTATAGGTCAAGAATAAGGAAGCTGAAGTAGAAAACAACAGCAAGAGAAATGCCAACACTGATACACTTCTTTTTTGAGACCAATTTCAATAAAATTTTCCAACAGATAATCCCTTTGTTGGAAGGACAATGCAAGATAATTTAAATTAAAAATTACAGATTGCTTAAATATAATTTAATTTTTCTTAGTATGAAATGTGTGTTATCAGAGGTAAAAGTGTTCAGCAAATACAGTTTCTGTGACTGAGTAATATGTTATGAAATACATTCAATGTATGTAATGATGTCCTAAGAATTTCCAGTTTTCCCCTTCTGTTCTGTACTTTACCTGTGCTGAATTTCCTTCTTATGCTTTATATATAAATATATATGTATATACACAAGCATATATATACATACATACATACATACATACATATACACACACACACACACACACACACACACATACATACACATACATGCATATATATATGGCAACTATATGTATGGAAGTGATACAGTCTCTTACTCCCAAACTAGAAAGCACTAATTAGTGTACATTTAATGCCTTTAATTGTCTAGCATTTGTGGTCACCTTCATTGATACTATTGGTAGACAATTGTGTCTTTGTAAGCTTAACTGTTTTCAACAGTAACACCGAGAGAAGACTAGTGGACTCTTCCAAAACCACACGCAGGAATGATTTGCCTTTAGTCTCTTACCTGGTTTTATCTCACAGATCTCACAATTTTTATGTGGTAGCAATGAGAAAAATGCTCAAGTGGTGCCAATACTTCTGATACACTTGTCAAGCAATTTTGCCTCTTGAGGAAAAACGATAATAAACAGACATCTGAAGCCTCTGGTAGTTAACTTTTTGTAAGCAGGCCTTGCTTGGCTCACTTAGAAAAAGTAATGAATTTACTTTTTCTGCAACTTTCCATTGTGGCAGTTGGGATAGCAGAAGGCCCTCAGGTCTTTGCCCATCTCATTTTATGAGCTCAGAACTTCTACAGATTAGGAGCAGATATGCCTGCATGCCAGGCTGCAACATCAGGCTCACCAAGTTTACCATAGTGTCAGTTTTCAGAGAAAACATAGCTGTATTTCATCATTTAACAGATATGTCTGTCAGACTTGGCCTATGCTGTCTGACTCCTTCTGTTGGACCTAAGAAAGCCTAAATAACTTCTTTCACATACAGACTGTGGAAAAACATTACTCAGAATCAGAAATATGATGATAGTCTTTCTCTGAGCCTAGCTGCACAACATTCTTGACAGTCATTTTAAATAAAGTATTCCCTTCTCACCTCTTTTTATATTCAATTTAGTGAAAAATGGCAACTATTAGGAAGAAATTTCTTTTAGCAAACACAGACCATCATATTACTCTTTGGAACCATCTTTGAGACAAATAACTTGGAAAAACAAATTCAATTTCTATCTGCCTCTCATAATTGCCTTAAACATTGTTAAAAACAGCAAAGGATTTTGCCTACTATGGAGAAGTGTATAAAATCTGTGACCACTGAAGCCCAAATATATGTCTGCAGGGAATATGCTTGAGTGTTGCCACATATACTTGAAAATGTATGTTCAAACTCTGTTTTGTGGGACACTCCTAATACTGAGTAGACCAGAAGAAGGGGATGAACAGGATACCACTGGATCCACAGGGGTGGTGATTATCTTTCTGCTTAGTATGTCTCTCTTTCCTTCCCCTCCCCTCTGCCTCCCTCTCTTCAGTTTCTTTCTCTCTTTACCTAACATTTACTATTAAATAAATTCTGTACCATTGACTTTAGCATATGATCTTTCTTGCTCCTTAATTTGGACAGAGGTATCTCTCTAATCATTAGATCGTAACACTCTCCTGGGAAGGAGGCAACATAGCAAGTCATTAATACTCATTAAAGTAGGTATAGACATTGACAAAACATTCCTAATTTAAAAGCACACAGGTAATCTGGGTTCTGGCTGGGGGAGTTGGAGCGTTTGCTTTTTTGTTGATGTGGGACTTTTTGTTTTCTCACAGACAGCAGTTTATCTTTACTTGTCTTTCTTTTATGAGATGGTAAGAGTCAAAATGAGAACACTGGTTTGCTATCAGTGTTAGCTGTAAGATTTTCACAATGAGAGATGTTGCAGGCTCCATTAAATATGGAGTGCAATAATACTGAAGTTGACAATTTGAACTATGAGAATACACTTTACTATCCTTTACCATCTTTGGAATAGATGTAATTGATTCAGTATTCACTTTTTTCTTCAATCTGTTTGGAAGAATTCTTACAAGTTGAGTAATATGTATATCCTCTCATAAATATGTGTACTAGTATGTAATTCCCTGTGGACTCCCCAGAGAAACAAATGTTTCTGTGCTGGAGAAGGGAAGAAAAGGGAAAAAAATTATGATTGTAACAGTGAATAATACTTGCTGAGATTCTATGACTCCTCCTGATTAAACAACTTATACTATACCTTCCTGTGCCTTGCAGAAGAGCAATACAATTGAAACTGCTCTGCAAAAAGAATAATTCTATTGTTTAGATGGTTTTGCTGATTTTTTCCATTTCATGAAGATGTTATAGCTTTCTTATTTGAAGCTCCATTTAGACAGAAAATTTTATATTGATTTTAAGACTATTGTCCTTGACTGCCATTAAAAAATTTAAATTATTCAACTTTACTTTTCATAGAAGTGTTTTTTCCTGTTTTTTTATTATTGTTGTTTTGGTTTTGGGGTAGATTTTTTTGTTTTGTTTTTAACCTGAGGGAAATGACATAACTGTAAGGAAACAGCATAAAAACAGTCTCTAAATTAATTGCTGGAATTATATGCAAATGTGTAGGAAAAAAAAATGTGTGAGGGGTTTCTTTGGACAAGTGTGACAGCCAGATTAAGCAAAAGAGTAAATTTACTTTTTAAATGTAATTAACTTAATAGGCTCTGTAACTACGTAGGTCCCTGTGAATGAATGGATTATATGAGGAAAAATTAAATATACTAAAGCCAAACCTTTTGAAATTTACAGGAGGACAAACCAGATAAAATTAATTATGAGATTCAAGCAATAGCAGTAGGAAGTGTGATAGCACAAAACACTGAGTATCCCATTCACAATTTTTGCTGACTCGTATAAGAAAACACTCATCTTGGTTTTATTTCGTTTTGGCTTTGTTTTCTCCTGTGTTATTAGTAGAAATAATTGTAATAGCCTCTGAAATACTTGTGAAATATATTCATTTTACCCATTAAAAATCTATAACTTTGGCTTGGAAGGTTCTTCTTCGGTTTTAAAGAAAGAGGAAGGCTGAGAAGATTTTTAGTGCTCCAGCTGTGGATATTGCCATCTATTTTCTGCATGTCCTTTACTTGAAGTGCCATATAGTTGCCATCATTAAATGCTATACAGTACTGGAGTTCCTTCAGCTGACTGCTAATAACCTCCCCAACATGCAGCAGGATATTTTCACATGAATTATAAATCCTTACCATCTTTTCCAGGTAACTTAGAGTAAGGTGTTGAACTCTGACAAATGAAAAGGTTTCAAAATGGGTTTAGAAGTAATTTTCTAAGGAATTTTCTTTCAAAAACATTTAGACACCTATCTATTTCTTGAGTTTGCTTCATGGCATTAATGCACTTGGAATTGAAGATCAGTTGTTTATTCATAAAGCTGTAATTTAAGGTAATCATTGCAGTTGGTACATTTCCAACTTGTGCTGGTTTTTCCTCCTAAATATTTCATTGACTGATAGTTTACTGTTAAGGTATGGCAATTGTGTTTCTTTGCTTTTAAGTAGCACTTCAAGTAAAATCTCCTGGAGGATTTGCTTATTTTTATTTTTTTTTTAAATAAACCATGGTTAGTTCTGCTATTTGCAGCATTTCAGAGCCCTTTGTTACTTGTTTAATAGCTGTTGGATCCTTCATTTTAAAGCTCCATTAATTGTGAAATTCAAAATGTCTTTCCTAATTTGTTTGTTACTACGACAAACTCTGTCTCAGCAATTTTTCATTACAGATCAAATATCAAAGGTGAGAAGTGAGAGACTGGAAGTTTGGTACCACTCTACACTGAGGCTGACTGTGTTTCCTTTAGAAGTACTTGCTATACCTGTATGTAAAGCTTTGACATTTTCAATTGGTTTTGACAGCAAGTAGTAATATTCCAAGTTGTTCCAGGGATATAATGGTCAGAAATTTGATAAAGGCTCTCTAATACTTTCATCAAACCCAAATATCTATGGTGAGAGATTTTTGCTTTTGAATGGACTCTGTTATTCCTGAGTTGAAGGTGAACTAGATTAAAAGTTTAGCCTGTCCTTCACCTCAATCACTTCCATTACTCAGCCTTAAAAAGTTTTCCTGGCACTACACTTATTAGAATTGAGTGATTTTCCTATTCTTCTTCCTGTCAAAATCTTTCACTTTCCTAATCTTGATCTTGATCTTCCCCTTCAGCTTCCTGGATTTTAACTTTTCATTTTTTCTCCCATGTGACTGGAAACGCTGCAATGGTTTGCTCTGGATATTTACATTTCTTTACAAAAAGATCACAGGGTGCTTTGGGTTTTGAGATTTTGATTTGTTGTTGTTGGGTTTTTTTGTTTTGTGTTTTTGGAGTTGGTTTGGTTTGGTTTGTTGGTTGGTTGGTTACTGGGGGGTTATTTACATTGAGCATTTACTGTTACTTGAAAAATCTGTTGCTTTTTTTCTTAAGGTCTTTCCACATTTCCCTGTTGTGCTGAATAGCGCAGGCTTGTCCATCAAAAACTTGCTAAGCAATATTTTACAATTTCAGTTTTTATGATATCCTTAATGGTGAGAAAAATATATTAGGTATTCTTGGTCAATATTTACAAAAATGTGCTCATAAATAGTTATAACTGTGCAAAAACTGCCACAGAGAAGAAAAAAATACAGGAATTACTGTTTTGAGGTAATAGGATAAAATAAAAATCCTTCATTTCTTAGAAGTTTTTGGGTATGGTCAAAATGCATAATGAGAAACTGTTAAATCTGGAGCCAGATTTACTACAGTTGTTGCTGAATCAAAACAGACAGAAATTTCAAGATAAAAAATATAATTTACTCATCAGTTGTCATATTGAAGATTTTTCTCTTCTCTTCCAGTTGCAGCCACCCTACAAATCCTACAAATACATACAGTACAAACTGTACAAGAATATGGAATTAAATCTAAGCAGCTCTTAGAAAAATCAACAAATACCGCTTCAAGATGCATGACTCAAATCTTCATCATCTATGGTTCTTTTCAAATTACTCTTACAGAGATTTTGAAGAACTTACAAAAGAACTTACCAGATTTGACTTTTGCGTTTTGAAATACTTTCGTTTACAATTTACAGTTAACGGATGGTAGACAAAGATGAAAGATGTGCAGTGCAAATAGTTTCTCTCAGCATTACCAAGAGAATTACTTAGACATGGCATTGTTATCATACAATGATCACAAATATGGGATTAATGGTTAACCATAATGTGTATGAGTCATGAAGCTTTCTGCTGGTGCTTACTTCAGAGGCTATTTTCCACTGGTGTAACATGTGAGAAGAAATATAAGGTATTTCTGTCTAAGGATCTAATTAAAAAAAAAAAACAAACAACAAACCAAGCACAAAAAAGGACCAGCAAGAGATGTCTTTGCCTCTGAGAAGAAATTGTTAACAGTTTTGCTGTATGCTCTCTGATGAATTTAAGAACACATAATCATGTCAGTCTAGACTTCACTGTAGCTTGACAGTGGGAATAAGACCATTTTCTCCACACTCCATCTCACTTTTTAAGACTGATAAATAATAAATTTCTCACTTAATTCACTTTTAGGTCACCTTATGCTGCCACATCTGTGTCATATTTGCTTTTGAAAAGTAAAGAATGTAACACTGATGACAAATTTTATGCATCTGCTTGCAAATTTTGTTTGTAGTTTCTTTATAGCCTATCTTGTTAACACATATCATATCTTGTTACCCAGAACATCATAGAGAGTATCCTCACAGCAAAATAAAACTGATACCAGCTGTCTTAAAGACCAAAATTCATTTAAATATTTTTATAGTAGGGTGTTCTTCTGAGTTGTTTAGAGTCAGGGCACCAAGGGAGTGAATCTGCACATACCTTCCTAGCACAGCCATCCTCTAAAGATGAATACCCAATTCTGACTCTGCCAGTACTGATTTATGTCAAACTAGTTCCAGGAATTTCAGAGAAACTGCTGTGAGATTATAACTGCCATCATTATACAAGTACATATCTGATCAGTACCAGCTTCCTACAGAAAGGAAAAAAAATCCTGTTAGCTCGTTTTAAGACATCTCCTAAAGTTAAAGGCTGTACTTTCCCTTGTATAGAAAACTGATCTTTCAGCTTCATAGGCAACGTATTAACCCAAATCTTTTTATCAGCGCAACCCTTCAAACATCAATAAAGTACACAGCACATTTCTGCTAAACAAAAGCATTCTGTGTATTCCCACTGTAAGCATAAAATTAATTCCATGGAAACAGAGTGACACCACTTCAAAATCAGAGTAACTTAGCTCAAAATGAGAACTATCAAACATGAAGAAAGGAAGTGGAACATAATTTGCATTGTCAAGCAGTGGGACTGAGGACTGAGATGGTAAAAAAATTTAAAAATATCACATACCAACTGAATGAGGCACTTCAACATTTACAGGAGTGATGGCACCATTTCTTAGAATTGTATGACTCAGCAATGTTATTTGGGTTGGCATAAGATTGGATTTTTTTAACAATGTGTATATTTTCCCTTGTCTTATGCAATTGCCATATGTGTTACCAAGGCTGTTGTTCTGAAACAAATAGAAACCTTATCCTCTGTTTTGTTGATTTTGTTTGTGAACATAATTTTTCTTGGTTTTATGCAAATTAAAAAGTCTCTTGAATAGTAGAATAAACACATGCTTGCAGTTGCTCTGCTGCTTGAAACATGCCTCTTGCTATTTTCACTTTTTGCTTTCTGGTATTGAAATAACTCAATGGCCAGTACCAGCCTTTGTTCTTCATTGTGGATACTTGTAAATTGTTTTACACAACAAAGAATCTTTTGAGTTCAAAAAGGCATGAGGAGACCTTCCCTGACATTCTTCAGAATATTCTAGACACATGTGACCCCAAGGGAACAGGCAGGTGTGGGGCCTAGATCTCTCAGCAAATGCAAAGCCCAGGCAGAGCTTGTTATTTTTATCAGCACTCTTCTTTTGCTGCAGAGGGATAAAAGGAATAAAGCTTCAAGGTTGTTTCACTCAATTCCTACATTTTAGATAGCAACTTTTATTGTCTCAACATGTTATTCCATAACAGAACTTACCTTGGCTGAAGAGAAGTTATGCTCACCCGAGTTTTCCTCTGTTGTTAACCTTGTAGTACCATGAGTAACACTGAAAGTGACTTTACTTTCAGAGATGCTTGGTGGTGATGACCTTGTAGAAAGATAGCAAGTCCAGGAGATAATCTGGGCAATGAATCTTTCCAATATATCCTCACTTAGAAAATGCACACTTACAAAATAGTTTGGGGGGCAGGGGTGGTGGGCTGTTATCTTTGCTCTGAATTGGTCTGGGCATAACTTGACTCTGCTTTTCAATTTTTTTTCAAGATAATCCACGTATATATTTTAGGGGGATATCACAATTGTGTTATTCAAAGAATTCATTAAGAATGTGACCCCTTAAAGAAGTGTGGTCAGGCAACATTTTTCACCCTGTTGTTTCTGGAGTCCCCTTGCACCCCATTAGATTTTGTTACTGTGCAAAGACGCATGTTTGGAATTTCTATGTACATTTTTCAGGATTAATTAACTGGAGGCTGTAGGGAGATTCAGAGAAGCAAAGAACCTCCCAATTCTTGCATGTAAAATACAGCCCTGCTGCAACAAGTCTTTACACACTTATGCAGGTTAAATGATGTACAAGCAGCTGACACTTATTAGCTGCCATTTTTCATCAATGTCCTCCATCTCCTCTGCTGAGAAGACTGAGCCTATTTCTGGAGTGCATGAAATGCTGTACTGAAAGCATGTTGTCCCAGACATCTCAGTGAATTATTAACATGCCATCATGTCAGGTGCTCTTTGTCCCCTTTTTCTCTCACTCACTTCTGATAATTAGTTGAAACTCAGCATTCAAGAACACTGCCTTTGTTAAATGCCTGTGGGATGAGGTAAGGCTACAGGATTAATTCCAACATTTTACAGACCTACACATGGTTTAGCAAAGTAGTAGTTTTGAGAGGCAAAATAAGTAGATTACTCACTTTTTCTCTCCTCTCCACCAAACCCCAAGAATATGAAATTCAGATGACCTTTTAGCGAGGCACTTGCTAGGCTTGATTTGGTATTCATGTTCATTACAGGTTTTCGCACAGTAAACTGTAGGAGAATCACTCCATGTTCAGGGGATTAAATGCCCCATAAAATAAATGTTATTAAAAATAACATTTTATGTCACTCTTTCATAAACTTTTCTATTATCCCCCCTTCAATAAAAAGCTGGATGAGAAGATCACAGAAGTTCTTCCTGACTTTGGGGTGAGATTTCCTGTACTTCCCACATAGATATGCTTGTCCTACAAATGAATCTCAGAGTGTTCATAAGTGCCACAGAAATACCAAGGAAGACTGCATACCTGGTATCAGTGCTCTCTCAAAAATCTGAGACAAAAGAATAGAGGAATAAAAGAACAGGAATCTGTGAATGCAAAATTCTCTTCTGTGGTACAGTTTATTCAGTTGCTTGTGTCAGGGAAGAGTGGATGTACAACTCTGCCATGCCAAAATGATAGTGCTTGTGAACATGGCAGTTTGTTATTAACAGGTACATATAGTAAAGTGCCATTGAGAATCTGCTCAAGGGTTTACATGGAATTGAAATTAGACTCTCAAGTGCAGTGGGCATAAAATCAAGGTAAGACAAAATTAGAAGGCAAAACCCACCATTGCAAGGTTTTCCAGGTTGTAAGCAACCTATGCCTTCCAGTAAGTACTGATTTCTGATTATGTTTGCAATGGCTTTACCTAGACTGAAAATATGTAATTTATAGTCTTATGTGCTACTGGTAATTAAAACCCCAAATTTAGGTTAATGATGTCTTCTCTTCTTGGCTTAGGAAAAAGCCCTGAGAACTTTGAAAGGAAAAAGCTTTTATCAAATCTTGTATATTCTGTACATATATAGAGATATGTTGTAGTATTTTGTACTATGACTGTTTTTATTTTTTCCTTCACATATCACATTTCCTTCAATGATGTGTTTCTTTAACTTGTCTCTTATTTTTGCTTTTGAATTCAAACTTCAATTCAAATTTAGACTTGTGTATGATTCTCAAGCAAGACATACAACATGAGTTTTCCTTAGCTTAGTTTTTTCTGCAAAGAGAAAGGGGTAAATTTACTCTCGTTCACGTTTGTGCAGCCCCAAAATGACTGAAATGTTTAGTGTGCTTTGTCAGGAAGACATCTGAACAACAAAAGAGGAAAGATATAGAAGAGAGAACAACAGAAGAAAAAAGATACTTTTCCCCTCTCCTTTCTTAGAATTGATTTTAGCATAAAAAAGTATGCTAAAGCCACTAAACAGAAAGATACAGCAGCAAGAACAGGATAGTATTAATGGGGATTAATTCAAGGCAATATGCTGCATTAATTGGGAAACCGCCCAATACTAGGTTTCTCTACTTGTTTTTCTGTAGTACAGGCAGCCAGAATTACATTCAGTGCCTTTGGTGTTGCCCAATAACCATAATCCTCCCAGGTCTTGTAAAATGCAGCTGGCCAGCTTTCTGAGGATCCTTCAGGATCTCAGGGATTCTTAGGTAGCAAGAGTCACCAAAAGCACTGGCCTTTGCAGAAAGTGTATTTGGGAGAGGTGCAGGCTGTGGTCAGCTGTGGGCCACATTGGTCTCCGATTGCTTCAGTGAAACTTTTGCCATCAAAATTCTCCAGTTTCCATCACCAGGTCCAGCACTGGTGATCCCTTGGTGTAAAGGAGCATCAAGGTCCCTTTTAGCGATCATTTCCCTTAAGGTGCATGTTTATTGGCTAACAGCCTTCATGGTACGTGATGACTTTTGTAAGGCCATAATTCATACAGTGAAAGTAACAACTTCATCAGTAGGACACAAAAAACTGACCAGACAAGCATTCTGGCTTCTGCTTGTTCTTGTATGGTAAATGTCCTGTCACATAGTGATGTGAAAGTAAAATGAAGGACAGTGGGATTGGCGTGATCAATTCTTTTAGTCCTTTAAGGCATTAAGCATAGCCTCCTTGACTGTCATGTTAGGGTTAAGGATCAAAGAAGAAAATTTAAAGTAAATGCAATGAAGCTACTATTACATAAGTCCCTTATAGCTAAATGCAAACTTCCCCCTCCTCTACACAAAAAAAGGTTTGTTCAGCGGTGTGTATAGCATGCGATTTCTATGAAAAAGGCCCACCAAAATAAAAAGCCCAACTGCCAGCACAAACTCTGCCCCTAACAATCAAATGGGCTCTTGAGTACCTGAAACACACAGCTGCAGGTAGGAAGTGTAGCAACAAGAGTACTGGAGTGGATATGAGTGCCATTCTTTCCGGTTCAACCTTTAAGCAGCATTTCCATTAGCTGGGTAAAATAACTGTATTATAAATATTGGTTCAGCTTTGGTTTGTGTAATTCTGATTGAGTAAATCTGCACAGTTCTGCTTTGTGCAGATTCTATTTTAGCAGGTTTCCTAAAATTAATTTAATAATTTTAATACAGTTTCTCTTCTATACATACCTAAATGACAAAACTGCTACTGTATTTAATACTTTTAAGTACTGTCTTAACAAAGTCACAAAAGAGAAAATTGACATTGGAACTAAAAATTTTATCTAGCATTCTTAGGTTTCTACATAAGGGTTGGAAAAAATATATATGATAGGAATGCAGGCTTCACTGATTTTAAAATTCCAGGGTAAAAACTTCCAATTTCTTTTAAGAACTGTTTTAACTCCTCATTGCATAAAGGTTTAATGCAATAATGGTGCCATGTTGTGAAGGAAGCCCAGTCCTCTGACAGGCCTCCTCCCTGGAGATCTGCCCCCTAAGATAAGACAGAACCACTTAGTCATGGTGACTCAGCTGTGGACCCCTTCCTGATTCTGCCCCCCATGTTATCTCCCTGTTAACTATTGGTCATCTTATCTCAGTCTCAGACCATTGGTCCCCTTCCCAATTCTCCCCTTCCCTATAAAAATCCCAGTTTTTGCCTAGTTCAGGGGTAGATCGTCACTGGCCCCCTTTGCTGCAGCCTGCAATAAAGGACCCTGTGGAACACCACACGTCTCTTGTCTACACATGGCTGGGGTAATCCATGGACAGAGCTGGCTGGGCTGATCTGAGCTGATCACTGCACAGAGCTGAAATCACTTCTAAAAGAGCTGATCACTTGAAGTCTCAGGCTGCACTCCTAAGGGTTACCCCTGGCTGGAAACTGTCTGGAACTCCCTGAATGGCTGCTCCTCCTCGGGATGTCTTTCTGGGATTGTTGCTGGCAGAGCTGGGGGTCGGACAGACCCCCAGACCCAGCCACAACACCATATAACACTATTCCCACTTCTTCAATGGATAACCTGGCTCAGTATTACTGCTTTAACTTCCTTCTCTAGGAACTTCCCTCATATACTACTGATATCGTTTCTAAAGTATCCTTCCTCTTCTTCCAGTCAAAGATAACTACAGCTTAATTACAGCTATGTGCTATGCAAAGTGGTGGGCTAACAAGTGAAATCACAGTGCTAGTTATTGCTAGTTATTCTAGTTAGTCTAGTTTTTAGGACTGTTGTAAATATGGCAGTCACAGTTGCAGAAGCCATGATGGGTTTTATTTTTCAAACATATTTTAGACAGAATTTTCAGGGACTAGAAAGAAGGCCAGCTCACCCTTTCAGAAGCTTAAT